GACTATACATATCAATTATCTTTTTAATATACGATCTTAATCAAACCATAGGATAACAAAAGCCAAGATAAGCACAAATAGGAAATTAGCAAGTTAAATTGTAGTATCTCAGATAATGAAAATACCTACCCCATGCGTGATATTAACACCGCATACAGAATAAATGCGAAAATCAGTGCCAGCTCGGGCTGAATCAATACTGCTCAAATGATTGCCTGCGTTCAATGCAGTAAATTTTGAATCAAGATCCATTGTCTGCATCCAGCCTTCAAGTGGAACATTGCTTCTGAGAGAAAACTCTGCAGAGCATGCGAACAGGGGAACTGGATGGGATAAATTGTACCAATGAACCAATAGTCGAACGGCTTCGAAAGCATTGGAAAAGTGCGGATCAATCACAATGCTGCGCAATTCTGAGGCGCTCACCTAAAAACGTTTAGTAAGATTAGAATAAACAGGCTCAGGCATTTAACATAAATAAGAAATGGCTTACTAATCGTAACCTTAATAATGAAGTAAAATTCTGCTTAAAGAATTCAAGGCGATGTTCAAGATCGTAGGTTATCCAAGCGAGAATAGATCTGACCATAAAAGACTCATTCGGAGCGTTAGTTTCATCACCAAGATAAATAAGTTCGATCAAGCTCGGAGGCAATGTGAGAAACTCTTGCGACCAATAGTCAATAGATTGGAATTTATTCTGAAGTATGGCAGTGGCTTTCCGGGTTAGACGACGATCTCCAAATATATGTGAAAATTGCAATGTCCCTAGGTAATTAAATTATTAAGATTAATTACAAAGTGCATTGTCAACAGTGAGGGTAGTGGCCATTTTTTCACTAATTATCTCATGCAGCTCAATCACCTGCAAGAAACTGGTGGCAGCATAAACATCCCCATAATCTTCTTTTGGGATGGTATCAGGTGTCATTCCAAGTGAATTTATATAATTGATGACATGATTCACACCCTTTGGAGTAAGGCAGTCGGCATCTAATACAAAGGTTTCCCGAGTAAGAGATGGACTGTCAAACTTAAAAAGAGCCTTAAAATAATCACTCGAAGATGCGAGAAGTAAACGATTGCACCATATTTTTCGGCCAGAGACCACAATACATGCATTAAGAAATTCTTTATTGTTGAAGAATTCTTTAAGATTTTTTGCTACAGTAAGAATATGGTTTTGACTGTGCTTGTCCATCGATGAGTCACATTTTGGAAGATATTAAGACGTGCTCAAGCCCCTTCGAAGATGGCGCGAATGCAAAGTAAGGAATAACAATAAAAATAAAGTCAATATTAAATTAAAAGATATTAATATCAAAACAAACTTTTTATTTATATTAATTAATATGTTTATTTTGTATTATGTTAGGTGAATTGTGAA